TATTACCTATCATATAGGAAATAATAGGATCTCTAGGATCCTTTAACTTCGGGGGAAGGCAGTTTGAGACAACCGTACCTACATTTTTTGGTAAATGTATAGTCTTGGGTGCGTGAGACTTCATTCGCCTCTTTTGCTTGCACATTTCCTTGAGGAATCTAGCATAAGCAGATACTTGCTTAATGACATCTAAAAGTGGAATGTTAATTTGTACCGGCTTAAACAACTCAACCATTTCCTCAATCCTAGCGCTTTTCCTAGTAGTGGGAATATTTTGGGGCTCTAAGCACTGAGGAAAATGTGCTCTCGGTATGTACGATGCAAAGGATGGTTCCTTCTCCCCAACTTCCTCCTTACTCGGTCTTTGAACACTTGACTCTACAAGTGGCTCACTCTCACTCTCTTTGGCTAAGTCCCCACCTAGACTTTTCTTTTCTTTACCGTGGACTTCTACTTCCCTCTCAAGCCTAATTAGCTCTCGGCCGCTCTAAAGAGTCATCATAGCCTTAGCTTGTTCGGAAAGAACCACTAGGGTACCTACGACTTAACCAAGCAATTGGTCTTGCTCCCTCATATTAACTACTTCAGCTATTTGACCAATCTGGGTCTCCAGCCTACTAATGGATTGGGAATGGGAATGTATTAGTTGGTTACTTTGCTCTAAGTCTCGAAACCTAGCATTCATGTCAACTTTTTGTTCCTGCATGGTTTGAAACATGCTAGCATTTTGTTCTTGCATGGTTTGGAGCATTTGAACCATCATTGATTCCAGTTAACCGGGCATTGGAGTGGGCTGTTGAACCGAGGGTGGGATCCTTAGTTCGATTGAAGGTTGCTCCATATAATTGCCTTGTTGATTTAAAGGATTATTCTTGTATGACATATTGTTAGGGATATTTTGAGGTGGTTGAGGCTTCCATGAAAAATTAGGGTGGTTGCGCCACCCAAGATCGTACGTATTTGAGAACGAATCATTCCGTTTTTGGAAGCCTTGTACAACCTGCACTTGCTCCTCACAAGGGTCAGGGGTGGGTTCCTCAATTGGATGGTCAAGAGTGGATTGCATGGCAAAAACATCTTGGTTCGCCCTAATCTGAGAAGATTATATAGACGGCTGCCCTTGTATAGATACAAACTTCTCAACTAATGGGCCAGCACCTCTAGCTTGGAACTAATGTCTTCTAACCGTGACACCTCATACACGCCACCCTTCTTGGATGATTGCCCTAAGATAAGCATTCTAGATGCAAAAATCTAGTGCATTGAATTTTCACTTAAGGTCTCGAAGAGTTGTCATAACTCATTCTCATCCTTGTGCATAAATGTTCCTCCACAAGAGGCATCTACCATATTCCTATGCCTCTTGGTCAGTCTGTCATAAAAATGATAATCATATTTTACACTATGATTTTGCATTGAATTTTGATAGGATTTAGGATACTTTTCATACAATTTGGGCCATAATTGCTACCTAATTCTATTAATTTGTCTTTGCAGGCCTAAACGATGATTTTAAGCATAAATAACAGTTTTGAGCGTAAATTGTGTAACTTGAGCTTGAAAACTCAGAATGACTTGAATTTAGAATTTTTGGAAACCTAAGAAGAAGAGCTACAACTTTCATGTTTTGGGTTTTCCCTAATTCGGACTGGACAAGGGTGAAAACTTGGCTTGAAGTCGCGAAAAGTACGCTGGGAACTGAAGAAAAAAACGTCTTTGGACGTGCTTCAGTATTTCTGCCATAACTTGAGCTGTAGACCTCGGATTGTGCTGATTCTTGAACGAGTAGAAATATAATTGAAAGGAATACAATTAATATGTTTAACACGTTTTCAGATTCGGACTCTTTCATGCTAAAATTTGGCCCAAAATTCCTCGCCGCGACAAGGAAAAAGCTTCACCGCGGCGAAACCTGCATCAACTGTAAAAATAAAATGACGCGTTTTGGCTTGCTGGGGCTTAATCCTTAAGTGAGAGAGGTTTAAATTAGAGCGAAAAGGAAGAGAAATGGGTCTTGGTTCGGCATTTGGAAGGCAGCTCTTGGAAGGAGAAGATTATTGAAGATTTGGGCTTCAAATTAGAGAAGATTTCTCCATCTTTTGCTTGTTTTTCAATGATGAATCTTGATTCAGTTTGTTTTTGTTATTTTATTTCGTTTTTGAGTATGAACTGAGTTGTTTAGTTAGGGTTTGATGTAACCTTGATATAATCATTCAAATTTATATGAATTAATTTACTTTGAGTTTTAATTTTATGATTGAGTGTTTATCTCTTTGCTTAATGACTTTTGGATGCTTGATCACCATTCAAATGTGTGTTGTTCACAATGAGACTGAGAAGTGATTTGTGATTGTGCCTCTTGGGATAAATACCGTAGATTAAGAAAACGCTAGAGATAGGTTTAGCGATCTATGAAATCTATATAGAATTCCATAAAGCTTAAAAGACTTTGAACTATTAATCTTCATTTTGTTGGGTGCGGAAGCTTAATAGGGATAAGTAAGGAAATGTAGCCTGAGAAGATATGTTTTACAACTTAGGGAATTCGATTTTCAATCAAGGAATTAGAACTTGGGTAATAGATTCTATGATTTGGGTTAGCGTATTTAGGTGAAATCAATACCCTAGCATTTTTTTAGCATTGTTTAATTAGTTAAGTTGTTGGGTTTTGCTTTAATTTCATTATCTTTCATTTTTACTTTGTTAATTTGTATTTAGTTTGTTAATCTTCCATCAATCCAATTTATTGTTTCTTCAATTAGGACTTAAACTAGAGAAATCGGTACTTAGTAACACTATCCTCGTGGGAACGATACTCATCACTTTATTACTTTATGCGACTAGTGCACTTGCTATTCATTGCATGTTGTAGTTACAGCGCATCAAAAAACTACAAACTAATTGCCACCTAGGGACTATGTGATGTGAAGTAATTTAAAGCAATACTCAACATGTAATTATTTCATACCAACATTTATCATGCAATAGGTTTCATATCAACAACTAATCTTAATGGACAACACCAATAATCACAAATCATGCATCAAACTGCATTAAAGTATCGTAATCATGCATGAAACGAAAACAAATATACTTTGATACACAATACTACCAAATGTCCTACAATCAAGGTCATCCAACTGGTCGAGAGCTGATGAGGAGAGTGGTGGAGTCAATCTTGATCTTGCCTACAGCATAATAGATAATCGAAAGCTTGGCCGCTCATGGGTGTGTCAACGAAGGTTAGAACAGTGACAATGAAGCTAATCATGGCAATGAGCATAAAACCAACAACGAGATGATGTGAAGAAGGAGTGGAAACAACCAAAGGATAGCTCGGAATACGAACCGTCGCAACTTATCAGAGTATGTTAGTTTTTCAACGGGTTTTTTTTGGAAAATGGTGGCGGAAATGGGATCTGAAGGTACCAATGGAAAACTCAGGTGATGGGGAGTCCAAATCAGGTACTATGGAGAAAAGGTCGCTGGAAAGTGAAAGAAAACAGCCTGGAAGCCAAACGGTCGCCGTAGTGGAAACGAAGCGTTGTTGACCATTCTTTGCCAAAATTGGTGTGGAAATGCTTGTGGGAGGCTAAGGGAAGGATGGCTTGCACCTGGGGAAGCTGAATCAACCCCCAAAAATATGACAATTTACCCCTGAACAAAATAAATGAGACAAATTGAAACCTAATCAATAAATCACAACCTAATATCGACTCACAACATCTCAAAAATCATTCCAAACATGCGCAAGTTGTAAGGAAAAATTAAAATGTGATTTTCCATTAATAATTCTGTAATTTCTTCAATTGTCTCAATATAACTTCAATTTAATTACACATAGGGTTTTTTATCATCAAAATAGAGTCAATTTCATGACTCTAACAACAATCATAGGCAACTTGTCTCCTTCTCCTAGGTACACATATTTGAGATGGTTCGGGAGAGGGTTAAACTCCAAGGTATGGACCTAAACAATGGAAGGGAAAAGTTTCTCGTTAGATACAGGAAGTGTAATATAAGAGAGATCATACTTTGAATTTTTCTTTGGAAGAACATCAAGTGCTTCTATAATCTCTTGGAACTTTAGATTGTACCTTAGGTAACGTTTTGCTTCATTGGAGTCGATTGACAAATTTTCTGCATTTTTGGACTGCTTTGCTCCATCTTGAAGTAACTCGTCCTTAATCGCTTCATCATCAATCGGTTTCTTATAAGCTTCTTCAAGTTGTCTTCCACTTCTCAATGTTATGGCACTATCATTCTCCATAGGAATGGCCATATGTTGGGAAGGAAGTTTCCTAAACCGTTCCGCCTCTAGTCTTCCAATTATAGTAGCCAATTGACTATTTGATTTTCAAGATTATTGATTGATGTCTTTGTATCTTGTTGGAGTTGGAAAGTGCTGATGGCTAAAGAGTTTACTAAGTCCTCTAAAGACTTGCTTTGAGATTGGGGAGCATTTTGTGGCCTTGCTTGATACGGTTGTTGTGCTCTTGGATAAGGTAAACCGGGTGGGTTTGTAAGGGCAACAACTTGTTGATTTCTTGAAAGCTAAGGTTGGGGTGATCTCTCCATCCCTAATTATAGGTATTGGAAAATGGATCATACTTTGGTCGTTACTATCCTTGAATCCTCCTACAACATTCGCTTGCTCCATATTAGGCTCTTGAAGAGTAGGGCACATGTTGGTAGGATGTCCAATGGTAGAGCAAATTCCACATTGTTTAACTTGTTCAATCGTAATTTGTTGCACAAGTGCAGTCAAGGTACTCAATTGCTGCTCAATATTATTGGAAATTCCCACTTCATTTACCTTACTTGGTGATAGATCAGATCGAACACCAAATTGTTGAGAATTTGCAACCATGGTTGCAATCAAGTTTCTCACTTCAGTAGGAGTTTTATCAACCAAAGCTCCTCCACTTGCTGCATCAATCATACTTCTCTCCATAGGCATCAATCCCTCATAAAGGTATTGGAGTAAAAGTTGCTCATTTATTTGATGATGAGGGAAACTAACACATAATTTCTTGAATCACTCCCAATACTCATATAAAGTCTTCCCATTATACTTTCGAATACCACAAATTTTTTTCTTTCTAATAAGACTAGCTCTAAATGCTAGAAAAGATTTTTCTATGACTAGTCTCTTCATTTCATTCCAGTTATTTAGGGTCTCGAATGGTAGATAGTATAGCCACTCCTTAGTGCTATACGCTAGAGTGAATGGGAATGCCCTAAGCTTGACTTGTTCTTCAGTAGTGCCACTTGGTTTCATGCTCAAACACACCACATGGAATTTCTTAAGATGCTTATTTGGATCCTCTCCCACTAATCCTTAGAAAGTGGTAAAAGATTAATCATGCCAGGTTGTGATTCAAAAGCTCCACCCATGTCATTATACTGAATGCACAAAGGTTGTTGGTCAAGGGTTAGTGTAGTCATCTCCTTAAGAGTACAAGTAGTCATCTCTTCTTGATCAAAATAATCAGAAGAATTTGAAAAATCTGAAGAGTCACTCGTAGATGGAAGATTGGTACTAATCGCTTGATTAAGAATTGTCATATTCAAAGGTGGTCACAAATGAGTAATAAGAGGAATTGGATCAAAGTGTGAATTTGATCTCAAGTTGTAATGAGAGTTCATTCACCAAAACACCTTCAGCTCGACAAAAACAAACAAACAATTAAATTAGAAAAATTAGAAACTAAAAAAGAGTTAACTAAAAGAAAAATCACCGGCAACACTGCCAAAATTTTGATGCATGCAAATGCAACAACCTAATTTAACCTTACTTAAATTCTATGTCAATGTTGCATAGTAGCACAAAGCAAGTAAGGGTCTTTCCCATAGAAGACGTTCCTAAGTAACAAATTACTTATTAAGCAGGAGGCTTTAGTGAATTTAAAACTAAAGACTAATTAACTTAAAACAGAAACTAAAAAATAAGATTGATGAAATGGATTGAAGGATTATTCGCCACCACTAAACGTAAATTATAAATTAATAGAAACACTTCCTAACTTTCTACCTTCTTTGTAAAACCCTAATATGGCAAATACTTCTAGAGGGGAGTGAATAGGAGTTAATAGAAATTAATGCGGAATAATAAATTTCTCAACTACCCATATGCTATGAATAATAAATAACAATAATGAGAAACAATAAGTAATAAATGAATTGAGGGAAGAGAAATGCTTAAAGATTTATGGTGGTTTAGAGCCTTGATCAAGAGCCTCCTATATCCACTTCTTCAAGACAATCTCCTTGAAGTTCCACTAGACTCAGATTTCCCCAATACAATAGTTTACACAAGATTTCGCCTCAACAATAGTTTGACAATATTCTGCCTTTAGTTTTACATGATTTCACCCAACAATATGAATCAAATATTTTTGTGAATGATTGCCTTTGAGCTAGCTAATACACAATGGGTTTCAAATTTCTCTCTAAGGATATGAGTTTTTAGTACAAATGAGAGAGTAATTTATTTATTAAGATAGAGCTCTAGGGTTTGCAAGATTGATTGATGATTGTTGCCCTATTCTCTCACTCCATAGTCTCTTTCTCTTGTAATAAATCCCTCTATTTATGTATTCACCAACCCTTGAAATAAATTAGAGTCGTTGCTTCATTTAATGCACTCTGTAGCTTTCTGCAAAACTATTGAACCTTCAGTATGGTTATTGTGCAATCAAATCCTTTCATCATCTATTATCTCATCAAGGTTTGAAGTATAGAAATAATGTCAACTTCAAGTATAAACCACCTTGACATATTCAAATTAAGTTATCGGACCAATCGACCAATCAAGCACCAACTCGATTCCACTATTGCCACAGATTTAAGGTTGTTGTCTCTTACTGAATATCTCACTGAGATAATTTCTTCTATACCTAGGAGTGATAAATCATTTGTCGATCCACCATAGCCATAATGCACATCTCAATGTAGCCAATCACCACCATATTGATAACCCTGAACCAGACTATGTTAGGCTAGTGTCAAACTACACCAATGTTTACACACGATGCTCTAGTGATCTCAAGTCTAAGGACTACATGAACCACCATCTATTCGAGGATATATGTATTCCATGGACATTGGGTTACCATCTATATGAAATCTTCTGTGTGGGCCAATTTGGTAAACTCGTGAATAACAAGCACCCATGTATCACACCAAGTTATCAACAATCAACCTTGACATGCCAAATCTATCACTACCTTCCGATAAGGTCGTTCAACGCTATGACAACCTTACCGTATTATTTGTGCCCTTAGTTAGGATAATATTGGGGCTACAAACATTTCTACAATGGCCACCTAATGTGATCATAGGGATCTTACAATCAAGACTTATCACTGCTTGATTCCCTCATCACGATTCAACCACTCTAAAAGCATCAAATAACACATACATATAGAATATGATTTACACAATATAAACGATGCCTTTTATAAATAGAATAACATGATCCATTTAGTCAATATACAACAATATGATTGGCTCTAGGGAACCTACTCTAACAATCTCCCACTTGCATCTACAGCCAATCATTTACGTATTTAATACCAAATGAAGCCTAGTGTCTATCATGCTTCTACTGCGACAGAGCTTTTGTAAGTGGGTCTACAATGTTGTCATCGGTAAATACTATGCTTATTTGCACATCTTCCCTCTGAACAATTTTCCTGATAAGGTGGAATCGTTTGAGTATGTGTTTGGATCTTTGATGAGATTGTGGTTCCTTGGCCTAAGCAATGGCCCCATTGTTGTCACAAAATATCTGTACTAGATCAACAATGCTTGGAACCATACCAAGTTCAATAATGAACTTCTTGATCCAAACTACCTCTTTGGCTACATCTGATAATGCAATGTACTCGGTCTCCATCGTAGAATTAGCCACAGTACTCTACTTTGAGCTTTTCCAACTCACTGCAACTCCATTAAACAAAAGACAAAACTTGATTACGACCGATAGTCATCTCTGTTAGTTTGAAAACTGGAATCACTATTTCCTCTTACAGTGACTTCATCCTCTCTTTCATAAGCCAAGAACATATCCTAAGTCCTCTTAAAGTACTTAAGAATGTTCTTGACATGTATCCAATGATGCTCACTTGGATCTGATTGATATCCATTACAAATGCTTAAAGCATATAAGACATCAATCCGAGTACATAACATGGCATACATTATGGATCCAATAACGGATGCATACGGTATCCTATTCATCTTATCTCTCTCCTTAGATGATTTTGGACACATTTCCTTTGAGAGATAAACACCATGTGACATAGGAAGAAATTCATTTTTGGATTCTTCCATATTGAATCTCTTCAGTACCTTGTCAATGTATGTACTCTGACTTAGGCCGAGCAACCTATGTGATCTATCTTGATAAATCTTGATACCAAGGATGCAGGCTACTTCCCCTAAGTCCTTTATAGAAAAGCACTTGGATAACCAATTCTTTACCATCTGCAAGTTCAATATATCATTCCTAATTAGTAATATGTCGTTGACATATAATACTAGGAGTGCCACTGCGCCCCCATTGAACTTCTTATACACACAAGGCTCATCTTCGTTCTTGATGAAACTAAATTCCTTAACAGCTTCATCAAAACGAATGTTCCAGCTCTTTGATGCTTGCTTAAGTCCATATATAGACCTTTGCAACTTGCATACCTTTTCTTCTTTTCCTTCAAGAATGAAACACTCGATGTAATATTCTTTCTAGCTAGTAGTTCTTTGGAAAAATATAAGTAAAACTCACTAAATATATTATAGAATATATATATATATATATATATATATATGAAATAGAGGGCCCATAACTAATTTTTCTTTATATACAAATCTCTACATCAAGTAATAAGTCACAAAAATAACTCAAAAATATAGCCAGACAGTGTTGCCTTTCTCCTCCGTTACTTGACGTTCCATCCGACCGCATCTCATCCACTACCTGTAAAAACAATGAAATCAATGGAGTGAGCACTAATTGCTCAGGAAGTAAACCCACAATACTTCTATTCTTTCTCCGTTAATCAAATCCTGGATTTTCTTTCCTTACACCAAACTTCTCAATTCTTCTTAGCTCTTTCTAAGATTCTAGTTTCTCACTTATCGATATGTAAGCACAAATAGGGAAACTAACTCGAGGTTGTAGAAATGGCATGATGCATATGCACAAATGCATAAATTTTTTCTATGCAATGCATTCTCTTTTTTTTTTTTTTTTCTATTTTGTTTCTTTTTCTGCTTTTCTTTCTTTTTTTGTTTCTCTTCTTTCTTTTTTTTTTCTATTCTTGCTTTTTTGTTTTTCTTGCTTTTTCTATTCTTTATTTCTTTTCTTTTTTTTTCTTTTTCTTTCCTTTGTTTTGTTTTCTTTCTTTTCTTTTCTATTCTTTCTTTCTTTGCCAATCGGACTCAGTTGAGGCATGGATTTGGAACCCTGGCCGTGTGAGTGTATTCTTAAATTCTTTCTTGGGTACAGTCCTCATCCACATGCACTTCTTACGGACTGTACAAATTCTTCTTTCTTATTCTTAGGCCGCTCAGTAAAGGCGGTGTGCATGCGGGGCTATTCTTCTTCTCTATCACTCACGGGTTTCCCATCGCAACAACCTTCTTTTCTCTTATCTTTTTATATTTCTTTAAATAAAATTCAGATTTGAGGTATTCTTTAATTATGTTCTTTAGATAATGATTCTACAATGAATTCTTTTCTTTCTTTCTCTTTATTCTTTAATGTTCTCATACACGTATATGTGCATGTAAATATGCTCATTCCTTTCTATTCTTTCTAAATGCAAATGCTCAAATGTAAGGATGCATTATGGCATATAAAGATATCATGATGGAATTAGTATTCTCTACCAACAACATTTCCATAACAAAGTAATAATCTAACATACTCATATATATATGCACTTTCTTTGATATTTCATCAAACACCATACATGCACCATACAAACCCTAAATTGGTTACACTTCCACATATTTCTCAAGCCACCAAAATTGGAGCAAAAACTCCTTAAGGCCAACAACCACCCTAGCCAAATTTCATCCTCCACCATTCCACATTTATGC